AATCAAGTATGTGAAAACTTAAAACTGAAGTTTCTAAAACAACAGAAATAGAAGGCAACAAAAGGGCTAAAAGCGATAGAAAATTCTAAAGAAAATAAAAGACATGAGATGGCATTATGTATATTTGTGCTTGTGTGTAAGTACATGCATTCTTTATGTATGTAGGAACCTGTACATACACATAGGTAGTACACACACAAATTGCCAGATTTTTCATAAGAGAGGGATTGAAAGTTTGGATGCTAAATGACTAAATAGCTGTAGCTGCACTTATTTATTTTTAATTCATGAGACATTATACAACATATGGAGTAATATATGCAGAGTACTACCATATATAAAAACCAGGATATGAGAAATCTATTTACTTATAGTATTTTCTAATTATTCTTTTCAAATAACCAGTAGAGATTTGTTATTATTAGTTGGAATTTCCTTTTTTGCTGTTGTTGGTCATGCATTCCTCTGTGAACAACTTAAATTTCTTTCTCCCTACATATTTACTTTGCTATATTTTTCCTTCTCTGCTTCCACTTCTATTTTTCTTTAACTAAAACAAACCTGACCACATTGCACCTGTCGCACTTACCATCTTTCCCCCACCACTTCTATAAAGCACAGCATTCTCCAAATGCAAACCCATTTCCCTAGGCATCCTTCAAGTGAGAAACCACTGAATGCAGTCATTGAGTATCTATATTCATGCATCCAATTTGTCTGGGATATGTGCTTTTTATTTTTTTTAAGGGGTTTCAATAGCTGTTACACTGCCAGGCAAACAACTCCTTATGTTTGCAAGTTTAATTTAAACGTCCTCTGAACAGACTTTCTAAGAATCAGTTTAAGTATAAAATGGAGATAGTCTCTTACATTTAAAGCCATTGTGAGGCTTCAAATCACTGCACAAATGATTGGCAGTGCAGAGCTGGAAAGGGAGAAACATGAGCCTTTGATGGCATTCTTTATAAGCAATGAGGACATGTTGGAGTCTAGCATATTTGTTCTCTGTAGCAGTGATTGATCGTATGTGGCCTATATTTTCTGATAACCACGATTTAAAGGAAAAATTTTCAAGTCACAAAATTCACAATTTGGGATTTAAAAACTTTTGCTAAATGATGTTAAGGTACCTGGTAGAACAATGGTCATGCACTAGGCTCTTGACCAAAAGTCCAGTGATTTGAACCCCAATTTGTCCCACAAGAGAAAAACATCTTTTGATCTACTCTCCTAAAGATTACCGTCAAGGAGATCCTATGTGACAGTTCTACTTGGTCCTATTGGAGAGAGCTCTGCGTCAGAGCCAACTAGTGAGCAACGAGCGAGAGAATGATGCCCGAGTCGTTCAGAAGCTAGAGGAACTTTGCTTTTTTAATGAATGATGTGACACCCCTGTATGTTCGGCACATGGTATACTACACAGATCATGTCATCCACGCTTAGGAACACACATTTCCTAAAACAATTTCAGAAGTAAATGAAAATTCAACACAACAATGATTCCATATTTAAACACAATTAGGGAATCTATGTGTTTGTCATCTTTACTTACTGTGACTTTTGGAAAGACTGCTTCAGCAAAACTTCCTCCAAGGAATCTGATGTCCAAGTAATTCATATGATTTAGCTTCCAGTGCTATATTGCTAAAGCACTTCATCAGTAAAGAGACAAAAACAGTATCCCCAGGGGAGTGGTTTCAACAGAAGAACTCACTGTCTTTCAAGACGCTGAGGATCTAGTGAGAAACAAACTCAACTACAGAACATGAATAACTAACTGTTCAACGTGGAAAGACGATAAACACAATGCAAAATTCTAACCCCATCATGCTCTGAAGGTAGATGACAGTTTTCATAAAACTGAACTTGCAGTGTTGAATACATGGGCTTAGGTTGTCACCTAAATGACCTTATACATGTAAAGAATTACAGATTGCATGCCAGAAATAAAGCAGATAGTTTAATGCTAATTTGAATATTGCTACAATGTAATTAAAAGCAGAAAGTCTCAAGGTGCCCTCCCTGCTGTGCAGTAGCAACTAACCCCCTTACTAGCATAAACACAAACAAGGAAACAACAAACTCAAACTCACATTGAGTTGATTTCATCGCATAGAGATTCCACAGACAGAGCAAGGTAGATATGGCCCTGTGGGTCTACGAGACTGTAAATCCTTAATGGGAGTGGAGAGTTTCATCATTTCCTCCACAGGGTTGTGGTGGTTCTGAAGTGGTCGCCTTGTTGTCCGCAGCTCAGCGTGGAACTCATAATTCACCAGAGTTCCTTGTGACTAGTATATCCAAAGCAAACAAACCCTCAGGACCAATAACAAGAGTAGCGTTACCAGGAGGGGAAGGGAGAGGTGAGGGGAGAAAGGGGGAACCGATCACAATGACCAACAACATAACCCCCTCCCGGGGGGATGGACAACAGAAAAGTGGGTGAAGGGAGACAGGGATCAGTTTAAGACAAGAAAAAAATTAATAATTTATAAATTATCAAGGATTCCTGAGGGAGGGAGGGGAAAAATAAGCTGATACCAAGGGCTCAAGTAGAAAGAAAATGTTATGAAAATGATGATGGCACCATATGTACAAATGTGCTTGACACAGTGGATGGATGGATGGAATGTGATAAGCTGTAAAAGTCCCCCATAAAATGATTTAATGAATAAACAAAAACAAAACAAAACACCACCATCACTCCATCGAGTCGATGCCGACTTATGGCCGCCATAGAGGACACCGTAGAAATGCCCCGTTTGTTTCTGAGACTGTAACTGTTTAGGAGAGTGGAAAGTATCACCTTTCTCCCACGGCATTATTGGTGGTTTTGAACTGCTGCCTTTATGGTTTGCAGCCCAACGTATAACCCTCTATGCCACTAGTGCTCATTGCCTAGTGCAGAGTGGGAGAAATTGTCAAGATATAAGTGGAATGTCAGGCTGCTTGCCCAAGTCCTAACATTACTCCCTAGAGAAAGAACGCCTGTGACTGCACCCTGGTCAGATAAAGTGTCTCTCTAAGGCATTTCGAGTAACAAAAGTTCAGAGAACTGAATGCTTTTCACAGCATCTGAAGCATAGATGAACAGGTTTTAAATAGCATGTCATTTTTTTCCAGATAAAATTCATAGTGTACTCTTATTTTAAATTCGGCATTTATTTTTGAATGTGGATTCACATGTTGGTGAAGTAAACATTATCAACATCATTTCATTTCCTTTATTTCTAGCATCTCGATAAATGGTATGGTATATTTTACCACGAGAGGAGCTATACCATGAAAACTCTATGGAAAGGCTCTACCTTCCAATTAGTAAGTTGAATCATTCAGTTCAGTGAGCACCTTGCTTTTTCCTTTGCAACAGCATCCTATTAATTGTCTGAAAGTTATCTTGGCTAAAGTTGACTTTTACTCCCTTCAATTTAAGCTCTTACAACTTTCTGAAATGGAAATAAGTGCGTTTCTTTTTATTCAGTCAATAAAATGCATAGCTTTTCACTGCCGAGAAAACATCACATACTGATTGAACACATATTACATGAATTCACTTCCATAAGAGGTCCTCCAGGATGAAATCTATGCGATTGAGATGATTCTGCCAGCAATTATAAGCATGTTAAAAGAAAAATCAGCAAAAGGAGAAGAAAAAGCAATTCTTTATTTTCATCCAAATATATTAGACTTCATAATTTAGTTAGATTCAACAACAACAAAAACAAAAGTAGTGTGACCATAGATGTCATCCAAATCAGGATATTTGGGGAGTGGAAGGGAGTGCTACTAATAATAACACTGGTACACTGAGGGAAAAACTGGAAATACCCTCCCTCCCAACCCTGCCCCACACAAAACCCCATGATCAAACTAACAATGAAGGCTTAACTGCAGTTACAAGCAGAAATCACACCTTTCCCATACACACCTGGAAAAGATAGAGGGATACACTTGACTGATAAAATGATTTTGGCAATATGGATTCCTTTACATCATTCAGGTCTCTGTTAAATTATCATTTCCTCTCCAAGCCAGTTACACATCTAAAATAATTCTTAGCTCACTCAGTCATTTTCCATCCTATAGCCCTGTTTTTATTCTCTTAAGTTGATATTTTGACTAGCTGAAATTTTTTTTTTTTTAACATTTTATTAGGGGCTCATACAACTGTTATCCCAATCCATACACACATCAATTGTGTAAAGCGCATTTGTACATCGTTTCTCA